TCCGACCTTCACAGGTGCTACTCGCTCACAGCACTTGCCCCAACAGTCTGCTGAGGCTATACAGGGGATCTTTGTCTTTGTAGGTGCTACTCGCTCACAGCACTTGCCCCAACAGTCTGCTGAGGCTATACGGGAGGGGGGGGTATTTGCTTTTGTTGCGTGTCTTTGGAGCGGTGGCGCGGTGGTTAGCGCGTCCCGAGTTCGCATCCCGGCCACGGCTTACATCGCTTGCTTCGTAACCATTAGAAGAACCTGTTACGGGGTCTCCCCTAGGTCGGCTCAGCCTTAAACGAGTACCTGGAGTACCAAAATAAATTCGGCGGCCGGGCGTAGCTCTGACCTCTCAACCCCCCGACCGCCCAACCTCGTGTGCCGTGCCGGTCTTCGTAGGCGCTCGCTAACAGCGCTCGCCCCAACAGTCAGTGCAGGCCGCCCCAACAGTCAGTGCAGGCCGCCCCAACAGTCAGTGCAGGCCGCCCCAACAGTCAGTGCACGTACAGGCGGACGGCGCGGTGAGCACCGGTGGGGCGAGAATCTTCTCGGCCACCTCGGTCGGTGAAGCCCGCCCCCACCACCACCAACACCACCACCACCAACACCGCAGCCTTCGTCGACATCCTCCTCCTGCCCGCAGCGAGAGACCTCCTCTCTCTCCTCGTTCTCTCTCCTCGTTCTCTCTCTCCTCGTTCTCTCTCTCCTCGTTCTCCTCTCTCGCGCTGCGCGTCACGGCCTCGGTGCACCTCGCCCGGCAGCTCGCGCCGCGGTCACTTTGATGTCCGTGAGCTGCGGCCAACAGCGGCGGTGATCGACGAGGGGGGGGGCAGCAGCAGCAGGAGCAGCAGCAGCAGGAGCAGCAGCAGAGCGAGTGGCGCAGAGGAAGATTCCCGAGTGGAGCCAGGCGAGGGAGGAGGAGGAGGACGCGGTGGTTGTGTCGACGTTCCGCGACTCGACGCTTCGTTGTGTCGCCGCTCGCGTCCTCGACGACGACGACGACTCAAACCGACTCGGCGGTGGTGGCGATCGGCAACGGGAGACGCGGAGTCGCGAGTGGGGGTCGCTGCACGCCACGGGGGCGGGTCCCGCGCCCTGCCGCTCGAGTCGAGGTCGGGTCGAGACTCGGGACACCACAGCGTGGACCCGAGACCTCCCCCCCCACCCCTCCCCCGTTGTGGATTTGTTGTTTTGGTTCACGTCGCGTGACGCCGCGTGCGGTGTCCGTCTCGCGCCACTCGCCGTTTACGGAACCTGCGATCGGCGCGGTAGGGCTACGAGCGGAGCGAGAAGAGTTCGACACACGCGACACGACACACACCACGTGACACGCGACACACACCACGTGACACGCGACACACTCCACGTGACACGCGACACGACACAGAACACACGACACACACCGCACGCGACACACGACACAGAACACACGTGCGTGCGAGAGAAGTCCGAGACACACGCGACACACGTGCGCACGTGTCGTGCGTGCACAGCGCAGAGAGGCTCGATGGCGCGTTGCTTCGAGTCGACGCAACTCGAGTCGGGAGTTGCACGCGGCGGCGATGTTGTTGTGAGACGAGGTATAGATGTGTGGTCGCGGCGACGGTGATGAAGACGACGATGATGACGACGATGAATGATGACGACGATGAATGATGACGACGATGATGATGACGATGATGATGACGACGATGACGACGACGATGAGTACGCCGATGATGACGCCGATGACGATGAAGACGACGAAGACGACGAAGACGACGACGAAGAACGATGCTGCTGATGAGGAAGACAACGACGAGGAGGAGGAGGACGAAGAGGACGACGCTTGTCTCACGCGAGTCGCGTGGCGCTCGTGAGCGCGGCCGCCGCGTGCTGGATGCCGGCCGCGTGCTCCCTCGCCTTGGCGCGGAGAATCGCGATGCTGCACGAGCGGCGCTCCTCCACCGAACCGGGCCCCGGCCCCGGCACCGTGGACATGGCCGAGGAAGCCGAAGGAGTGAGCGCCGAGGAAGGGGCCAGAGCGAGGGACGCCGCTGGAGTCGTCGGGGTCAGGCTCGGGGCTCGTGCGGGCGGGGTCGTGGGAGGCGAGTGGACACGTGGCCTCATGCCCAGCCACACGTACTTGGACTGCAGCTGCTCTCTGATCGCCTGCTGCTGCTGATGATGATGATTGTGCTGATGCTGATTCTGCTGCTGCTGATGATGATGTTTCTGGTGATGTTGGATGCGCACGGAGACCGATGGAGATGACGAGTCGCTGCCTTCGTGACTCGATTCTCCTGAGTCCCCTCGAGCCGACTCGGAGAGGTCATCGTCATCACCACCATCGCCACCACCACCATCATCAACATCGCCACCACCACCACCATCATCATCAACATCAACATCTCGGGCATCGCCTTCATCAACACCATCACCGTCGTGGCTTGAGGCACTGACTCGGAAACTGCCGTCTCCTCCTCCTCCTCGTTCATCTTCAAGTCCTCCTCCGTCTAGGTCTTCATCTTCACCTCGTCCACCATCATCATCAGCACCATCACCACCGCCATCACTCCCTCCTCCTCCTCCTCCAGCCCCGGTAGCGGAGTCGCTCGCCTTCCCGGCCATCTTCATCTGGCGCCGCATCTTGGCCCTTCTGTTCTGGAACCAAACCTGGAAGAAGAAGACGATGATGATGGTGGTGGTGGCGGTGATGGTGGTGGCGGTGGTGGTGATGGTGGTGGTGATGGTGGCGGTGATGGTGGTGGCGGTGATAGTGGTGGTGATGGTGGTGGTGGTGATGGTGGTGGTGGTGATGGTGGTGATGGTGATGGTTGTGGTGGTGATGGTGGTGGTGGTGATGGTGGTGATGGTGGCGGTGATGGTGGTGGCGGTGATGGTGGCGGTAATGGTGGCGGTGATGGTGGTGATGGTGGTGGTGATGGTGGCGGTGATGGTGGTGGCGGTGATAGTGGTGGTGATGGTGGTGGTGGTGGTGATGGTGGTGATGGTGATGGTGGTGATGGTGATGGTTGTGGTGGTGATGGTGGTGGTGATGGTGGTGGTGATGGTGGTGGCGTTAGCGGTGGTTGTGATGATGTGATGATAATAATGATGATTGTGATGATGATGATCATGATGATGGTGGCGGTGGTAGTGGTGGTTATGATATTGATGATGATGATAATGATCATGATGATGATTGTGATGATGATGATAATGATCATGATGATGATGGCAACATGATGTTGGCAGTGGTGGTGATGTTGACAAATGATTGTCACGACGATGGTGGTAGTGATGATGATGATGGCAGTGGTAGTGATGATAACCATGATAATAATGACGGTGAAAGATGGTGGTGGTGATGATGGTGGTGATTACCGTGATGGTTGTGGCGGCAATGATTATGATGGAGATTATGATGGTGATGATGGTAGTAATGATGATCGTGGTGATCACGAGGAAGAGGATGGTGGTGGTGGTGGTGATGATGGTGATGATGGTGGTGATGATGATGATTGTGGTGATGATGGTGATGATGGTGGTGGTGTTGATGGTGATGATGGTGATGATGGTGGTGGTGATGATGGTGATGATGGTGATGATGGTGGTGGTGATGATGGTGGTGATGGTGGTGGTGATGATGATTGTGATGGTGATGATCGTGGTAATGATGATCGTGGTGATGACGAGGAGGATGGCAGTGGTGATGATGGTGATGATGGTGATGTGTGCAAGTCGCGTGAGTGCTCTAAGTAAAACGAGTGCGCCCTCTGCGGCCTTGCAGATAGGCCCCGACAACCTACTTGCTGCACCTCTATTCTATATTCTTATCCGGTGTTCTTTTATTTTTGACCGAATCAGGGCCGCCTTGTGGCGACCACCACCAAAGACAAAGAACCCCCATGTAGCCTCAACAGAACGGTTGGGGCAAGGGCCGTTCGCTGTTAGCGAGTAGCAACCCATTAAGCTCCGAACGGCATACGAACGGGATTGGTGGCTGTCAAGACCCCCCACTCCCCCCACTAACCCCCCCCCACCACCTCTCAACCACCCCCCCACCCCCCTCACCACCCCCCTCACCCCCACCACCCCACCACCACCCACCCCACCCACCACTCCCCCCATTACCCCACCACCCCCGCCTCCACCCCCACCACCCCCCCACCACCCCCCACCTCCACCCCCACCACCCCCCCACCCACCACTCTCCCCCACTACATTACCCCCCCCCACCACTCCCCCGCCTCCACCCCCACCACCCCCCACCACCTTCACCCCCCCCCCCATCACCCCCTCCACTACCCCCACCACCACCCCACCACCAACCACACCACCTCCACCCCCAGCACCCCCCCCCCACCTCCACCCCCCCCCCACCACCCTCTCTCATCCCCCACGCCCTGCCTCCTCACCTGCACCCTGGCCTCGATGAGGTCGAGGCGAAGCGCCAGGGCCTCGCGCATGAAGATGTCCGGGTAGTGCGTGCTGGCGAAAGCGCGCTCCAGCTCCTCCAGCTGCCAGCTGCTGTAGTTCGCCCTCGCCCGCCTCTGCTTGGTGGGCTTCGTCTCGTCTGGGTGCCAACAGATTGAACCCGCGTGGCCGTCAACAACGCTGTTGGGCGGCGCAAGTGCTGTTCGCGAGTGGCGGCACGTGGCGCGCGCACACACACACACAATGTCCCAAACCTCACCACACACTCACCAAATATCACAAAACTCACCACACCCAATGTCACAACCCTCACCACACACTCATCGAATGTCCCAAACCTCACCACACACTCACACAATGTCCCAAACCTCACCACACACTCATCTAATCTCACAAACTTCACCACACACAATCTCACAAACCTCACCACACACAATCTCACAAACCTCACCACACACAATCTCACAAACCTCACCACACACAATGTCCCAAACCTCACCACACACTCATCTAATCTCACAACCCTCACCACACACACACACAATGTCCCAAACCTCACCACACACTCATCTAATCTCACAACCCTCACCACACACACACACAATGTCCCAAACCTCACCACACACACACACAATGTCCCAAACCTCACCACACACTCATCTAATCTCACAACCCTCACCACACACAATCTCACAAACCTTACCACACACTCATCCAATCTCACAACCCTCACCACACTCTTATCCAATGTCCCAAACCTCACCACACACTCACCAAATCTCACAAAACTCACCACACCCAATCTCACAACCCTCACCACACACTCATCGAATGTCCCAAACCTCACCACACACTCACACAATGTCCCAAACCTCACCACACACTCATCTAATCTCCCAAACCTCACCACACCCAATCTCACAAACCTCACTACACACAATCTCACAAACCTCACCACACACTCATCTAATCTCACAACCCTCACCACACACAATCTCACAAACCTCACCACACACTCATCTAATCTCACAAACCTCACCACACCCAATCTCACAAACCTCACCACACACAATCTCACAAACCTTACCACACACTCATCTAATCTCACAAACCTCACCACACACAATCTCACAACCCTCACCACACACACAATCTCACAAACCTCACCACACACAATCTCACAAACCTCACCACACACAATCTCACAAACCTCACCACACACAATCTCACAAACCTCACCACACACAATCTCACAAACCTCACCACACCCAATCTCACAAACCTCACCACACACAATCTCACAAACCTTACCACACACTCATCTAATCTCACAAACCTCACCACACACAATCTCACAACCCTCACCACACACACAATCTCACAAACCTCACCACACACAATCTCACAAACCTCACCACACACAATCTCACAAACCTCACCACACACAATCTCACAAACCTCACTACACACAATCTCACAAACCTCACCACACACACACACAATGTCCCAAACCTCACCACACACTCACCAAATATCACAAAACTCACCACACCCAATGTCACAACCCTCACCACACACTCATCCAATGTCCCAAACCTCACCACACACTCACACAATGTCCCAAACCTCACCACACACTCATCTAATCTCACAAACCTCACTACACACAATCTCACAAACCTCACCACACACAATCTCACAACACTCACCACGCACAATCACACAAACCTCACCACACATTTACCAAATCTCACAAACCTCACCACACACTCACCGAATCTTATAAACCTCACCACACACTCACCCAATCTCACAACACTCACCACACACAATCTCACAAACCTCACCACACACAATCTCACAAACCTCACTACACACAATCTCACAAACCTCACCACACACACACACAATGTCCCAAACCTCACCACACACTCACCAAATATCACAAAACTCACCACACCCAATGTCACAACCCTCACCACACACTCATCCAATGTCCCAAACCTCACCACACACTCACACAATGTCCCAAACCTCACCACACACTCATCTAATCTCACAAACCTCACTACACACAATCTCACAAACCTCACCACACACAATCTCACAACACTCACCACGCACAATCACACAAACCTCACCACACATTTACCAAATCTCACAAACCTCACCACACACTCACCGAATCTTATAAACCTCACCACACACTCACCCAATCTCACAACACTCACCACACACAATCTCACAAACCTCACCACACACCAAATCTTATAAATCTCACCACACACTCACCCAATCTCACAACACTCACCACACACAATCTCACAAACCTCGCCAACACACTCACCCAATCTTAGAAACCTCACCACACACTCACCAAATCTCACAAACCTCACCACACACAATGTCCCAAACCTCACCACACCCAATCTCACAACCCTCACCACACACACACATCCAATCTCACAACCCTCACCACACACATTCTACCAGCCCTCACCACACAAACACACAGTGTGATTTCAATCGAACGCCTTGCACGACATTGAGAAACTGGGATCATCCCGACCCGTACTGTTGAGTTATTACCGTTTGCCGCTACCACATTGCCCCCCCCCCCCCCACTAGGAGCATCAAATATCAATCACCCTGCGCCAGAGAGCAGCCCGCAGAAGCGGCTGTCGCAGAACTACTTCCGAGATCCCTTCCGGGGCTTTCCCCCCCCCCCTCTCTCTCACCCTCTCTCTCTCACCCTCCCCTCTCTAACCCTTCCCCCTCTCTCACCTTCTCTCTCACCCCCCCTCTCTCTCGCCCTCTCTCTCTCTCACCCCCCCCCCCCTCTCTCTCTCACCCTCTCTCTCTCACCCTCTCTCCCTCACCCCCCCCCCTCTCTCTCTCACACCTCTCTCTCTCTCACCCTCTCTCATCACCCCCCTCTCTCTCTCTCACCCTCTCTCCCTCACCCCCCCCCTCTCTCACCCTCTCTCTCACCCCCCCCCTCTCTCACCCTCTCTCAACCCCCCCCCTCTCTCTCTCACCCCCCCTCTCTCACCCTCTCTCACCCTCTCTCACCCCCCCTCTCTCACCTCTCTCTCACACCCCCCCCTCTCTCACCCTCTCTCACCCCCCCCCTCTCTCTCACCCCTCTCCTCACACCCCCCCTCTCTCTCTCACCCCCTCTCTCTCTCACCCCCCCCCTCTCTCACCCTCTCTCTCACCCCCCCTCTCTCACCCTCTCTCACCCCCCTCTCTCTCTCACCCCCCTCTCTCTCGCACCCCCCTCTCTCTCACCCCTCTCTCTCACCCCCCCCCTCTCTCACCCTCTCTCACCCCCCCCTCTCTCTCTCACCCCCCTCTCTCACCCTCTCTCACCCCCCCTCTCTCTCTCACCCCCCCTCTCTCACCCTCTCTCACCCCCCCTCTCTCTCTCACCCCCCTCTCTCTTTCACCCCCCTCTCTCTTTCACCCCCCCTCTCTCACCCTCTCTCTCACCCCCCCCCTCTCTCACCCTCTCTCACCCCCCCTCTCTCTCTCACCCCCCTCTCTCTCTCACCCCCCTCTCTCTTTCACCCCCCCTCTCTCACCCTCTCTCTCACCCCCCCCTCTCTCACCCTCTCTCACCCCCCCTCTCTCTCTCACCCCCCTCTCTCTCTCACCCCCCTCTCTCTTTCACCCCCCCTCTCTCACCCTCTCTCTCACCCCCCCCTCTCTCACCCTCTCTCACCCCCCCCTCTCTCTCTCACCCCCCTCTCTCTCTCACCCCCCCCTCTCTCACCCTCTCTCTCACCCCCCCTCTCTCACCCTCTCTCACCCCCCCTCTCTCTCTCACCCCCCCCTTTCTCACCCTCTCTCTCACCCCCCCCCCCTCTCTCACCCTCTCTCACCCCCCCCCCTCTCTCTCTCACCCCCCCCCCCCTCTCTCACCCTCTCTCTCAACCCGTGGCAGTCAAATGAAGCTCGTATTTGTTTAGCTCTCGTGCGCTGGAATTTGTCCAAATTCAAAGTGAAACCCCAAAATTTAACTCGGGGGGTGGTGTGGGTGTGTGGGGGTGTTTAATGTGTGGTAGTCACGGGTGACCGGGCCGAGAACTTTAATTCACGGCACTCGATAACCCGGGTCGAGAATCAGGGGGTGCGACTGAGACCGGGATTTGGACCCGGGCCCCCCCCCCCTGAGCTGTTCCCTCGCTGCCCCCCCCCCAACGCATTTGACGCGACGTCGCATTTGCCTAGCGCCGCCTTCCATCATCGCGAGCGGCGACTGCACCGCCGACAAGGGGAGCCCCGAGAGAGAGAGACGGAGTAAGAGCCACGGACTTGTCGCTCTTCAAGCCCCTCGCTCTCTCTCTCGCTCTCTCTTTTCTTTTACGATCAGTGGAAACAAGAAGATGATCGGTGTATTCGGCACTTTGCTTCGTTCATGTGTGTGGGAGCGGCAGCGTAGCGGTTAGCGCTGCACTGCGCTATGAACCTGGCGACCCAAGTTCGATTCCCGCTCACGGCCAACACCGGTGACGATTATCTGAACCGGTCCTGGGCCTCCCCTAGGTCGACTCAGCCTCAAATGAGTACCTGGTGCGGTGTGTAAACATCGCCACTGGGGAGACAAAGGCGGCCGGGCGTGGTGTTGGCCACCCACCCCCTCGTGTACCGTGCCGGCCTTCATAGGTGCTCGCTAGCAGCACTTGCCCGTACAGTCTGCTACAGGCTACACGGGGGATCTTTGTCCGTCTGTATGTACCTGTGTGTGTATGTGTGTGTCTTGCCTGTCTGTCCGTATGTACCTGTGTGTGTGTATGTGCCTTGCCTGTCTGTCCGTCTGTATGTACCTGTGTGTGTGTCTCGCCTGCCTGTCTGTTGTATGTACCTGTGTGGTGTATGTGTGCCTTGCCTGTCTGTCTGTATGTACTTGTGTATGTGTGCCTTGCCTGTCTGTCTGTATGTACTTGTGTGTGTGTCTTGCCTGTCTGTCTGTATATACCTGTGTGTGTGTGTGTGCCTTGCCTGTCTGTCTGTATGTACCTGTGTGTGTGTGTGCCTTGCCTGTCTGTCTGTATGTACCTGTGTGTGTGTGTGCCTTGCCTGTCTGTATGTACCTGTGTGTGTGTGTGCCTTGCCTGTCTGTCTGTATGTACCTGT